CTGCAAACACCACCTCCTTTGTAAATGTGCCAACACCACCAAGTGTACATCACCATGTGTATGTGTGTTAGCATTTTCACAATCATTTCCCAAAGGATGTTAGCCACTCAACTTGCCACGCCCACTCGATCCTAGCGACAATGCAAAGTTAGATCACTCGAGTGGCACTAGATGACCGATATGCAAACAAGTTTGCCCTCTTGATAGTACGCCATCTATCCTAAACCCGGTCATAAACTTCTCTACACACCTATGACCGGTGAAATAAAATGCCCTAGGTTATACCTTTGCCTTTATGATTCCATTTCATCTCCTTCAATGTCGATGCAACACATGCACCAACACGATCAACAATGATATGATCCACTTCATATCATCACATGATCATATTGGTTTATCGATCTTGACTCTACTTGCTCTTCACCGTTGCTATCGTCCATCGGCGCCAAGTCTTGCTCAAGCTTCACCGCCACACGGTCCATCACTCCAAAGCCTCCGACTTGCCCTTCACGCTTGCAACCGGTCCATCAAGCCAAGTCTTGACTTGATCTTCTCCACATTGATCACATGACTCAATGTCATGTCTCATGTGCATTTAAGCTCCTTCATCATCACATGTGTGAGCTTTGCAACATCTCCAAGCCATTTTCACCTCCATGGCATATGTTGCTCATACACATGTACCTGTGGACTAATCACCTGTGTATCTCACATAAACACAATTAGTCCACCTAGGTTGTCACTCAATTACCAAAACCAACAAGGACCTTTCACCCGGCACCCGTGCGCGCACTAGCACGATGGCGCGGGCACCGGGCGGTCACGCCGGCGTCACCCGAACCCCTACTACCTAACTAAGGGGCCGATGATTACCTTGGGGGAAAAACGCAGTGACCGAAGGCTTCACAGCGAACAGAGAAGCCGTGCCAAGCCCCCTCCCTGGTGGTGGCCCCTTTCCTGCAATGGCGGGCGTGTTCTCGTGAGTGACAGCGAAGACGAAGCAAGCAACTACGCTAGAGAGCTCCAGGGACTACCCATGGATACCTTTGCGTTGACGGTCTGGCCGGAGAAAGCCCGAGGTGGGCTGGCCATGTGCGCGTGAGGTGGTGCGGCGGTGCACGACGGTGGCACGGCTGCGCCAGGGACTACTACACGGCGGCAGGGCTTAAACTAAGGTGAGCATGGTGACACCCGACTGGAGGAGAGGCTAGTAGCGCGAGGGATTGGACCAAGATGCCTTGGTTGCGAGGATAGCCGACGGCATAGGCCCTCCCGGTCTTAAGGACCCGAAGGCGTGGCTTTTCAAAATTGGGGCCTATGACGGAGCTACAGGCAGCGATGTGGGGTCGGTAGGACAGCATGCTACCTAGCGAAGTCGAGGGCGAAGCCAATTGCAACAAGGCACTCCTACCATGGCGAATTTGAAAGAGTCGTCTCGGCGGCCATGGAGACAGCGGGGGCAGGGGAGGTCCTGGCACGGCTTGGCTCGGTCTGGCTGTGGACGTCAACGCAACCGACAAACACGTGCCACGATGGGGGACAGTGGGACGCACCCCAGGCGACTGGCCACACAGCCGAGGCAGCAAGCCGATGGGACACAGCGCGACGTCGCAGCGGGCAGCGCCAAACAAGAATGGCACAGCGTGAGCGACGCGGAGGTGATGGGGGAGCAGGATATTGTCCATCACGCGAGAAGCCAAGGTGAGTCAACGAAGCAGTGCCGTGCATGGCCACTGGCGGCGCATAGCGCGAGACCCGGCGCGCCTTCGGCCAAAGTGGGACAGGACAAGGCGCGGCCGAGCTCGGTCGGTGTCCTGGGCGCAGCAAAGCAGTCGGCGAGGTGACCCACGTGCCAGCGAGGGCAGCAAGCAGCCAAGACAGTAGTGTAGGGCCTGCGCGTGTCGCATCACGGCAGCACAGAGACGTGGCCTGCGCCTTGATGCGCTGGGCGAGCTAGCCGCGGCAGCAGGTGTGGCCTGCGTGGCAGTGCGCGCTGGCAAGCCAGCAGCACTGGTGACCATGCCCAGGGCTAAGCCATGTGCCGTGCATGCTTTCTAAAGCAGTTAGAAAACTTGTACGCAATGCTCCAAATGCTAAACTAATTGTTCGATGCGCAAGAGGGTACATCAAGCTATCAACCGCAGTCATGACATCGCGCTACTTCTTAAGCCAATCGCTCCACAGAGCTTGCCAAAAGTGGCTTTGTCGACCTCTTCTAAAACTTACGCGAACGACGTCGTTTCGAACGATTTCGCGTCGAATTCCAAATCCAGCCTACGGAATGTACTAGCTAGTTATCCTTGTCCTCGACCGCACATGTTTTATCGCCATTCACAAAACGTTCTATAGCCTTTTCGTTTTAACAAGAATTCGATTAGGATAATAAACAACGTTATGTGACACGAAACATAACATTCGCTTTCTCGTTTCATATAATGTTTCAAGGACCGAACATTGCTTTATAATTCATGTTATACACATATGCACAGAACCATGATGCTCATGCGATGTTTAGCAAAACAGTACAATGTAACACCGAGGGTGTTACAGAAACACAAAACCGGGAGGATACCAAATCCCCCCAAACGTGATGATACCAAATCATCACAAAAGAAAGACATGGCTCGAACACGGCCAAGAAAATAGTGGCTCGAACGTGGCCTAAAAACCTAACGTTTAACGTGGAAGATCACATAGCATCCACGCCAACCAGACATGGAAGAAAACATATCCCCCGTGCTGGCTCCTGATATTCTGTTGCCTACACCGGCCTCCTAGTAGAAACTATACTTCTATCTAACGGGGTGTGAGATCAAGTCTATCCATATAGACATGTGGCTATACGTAAAGACTCACTAGGCGAGAGGGACTACGAACCGGTCCTTATGTGACCGAGGCGAGTATCTCCAACAGGAATCCTCTCTAGGCATTCCTGCCGAGGTAATTTATCCCACATAAATTACCCCCTACTCGCCCCATGTCGGAGTTTAGTCAAGTTTTACCAGTTTTAAGTTCCATAGTTATTATCATCAAGTTTATCAAGGTAACCATTTCCTTATCATATTATTTTAATCAAGTTCATAATTATAGTTTTGTGGTTTTCAAGTGGTATAGGTTGGGTTATTATTTAGTGGAGGTGGATGGTAGTGGGTTTATGGTGGAGGTTTGCAATATATGGTGGTGGTGGTAGGGAGGTGGTTATAGGGGTGGCATGTATGTAGAGGAAGGGGTTAGGTGGGTGTTAGGACTTGCCTCCATTCGCTGACGATTATATACTTGTCCAATTCATGTGTCTCCTGTTCCTATCTTCTGGACTCCATTGGGTTCTCTCATGTCTTCTATCCTACGTGGTCTAGCATCGACAAACAAGAGAACACAAACAAGGAAAACAACAAGCAAGGCATGTAAAACAAGCATAAGCAATCAATCGATCCTAGATGGGTTGGTCCTATTGGGCGATGGGTTGGTTAGTTAGGGTTATCACTATTACGTCAATCTGAAGTAAGGCTTGGATAGAGGTACTCTATCTAGAAGTTGGGTTCAACGAGTTAGGTCAGGGCGGGTGGTTGGTTTGATGGAAAACCAGACCACATTATTATGGTTCACTATTATGTGAACCTGAAGGAGGAAACCTGACCAAGTCATCATAAATGACCTAGTTGGTCCCTACAGGTTCACCGGGGTTAGCCACACATGCGCATAGGCGTGTTCATGTCACTAGGGTTAGGTTGGTGGGTTATGCTACGGCTAGGGTTAGTGGCATATACGCTTACGCATATGTATATACCTATGATTAATTAGTATTGATTAACTAGGTTGCTAGGGTTATCCATGCATAGGCGTATACTCATTTTAGGTGATTGGGTGTGGATATATTCAAGTATGTGTCATGGTACATACACATACGCGAATATACGGGGTTTACTACTACTACTACGGCGAGGGGCTATTACTATAATCGCTATTTACTCTAATTATAAAAAGGAAAGCAATCAAACTAGAATTTAAATGGGCACCAATAATTGAGGTTAAGGGCATGATTATGTAGGGTTTTATCCTAGAAGATTTATGGTGAAAGGATTATGGAATTTTGGAGTAAGATGATGAGGATGCAAATTACCTAAGTTTATTAATTAAACGCGAATGGAAAATATCATGCATATTATATCTACCATTTTAGCTAATGAACATGAGTGGTAAACTATCTAGGTATGATCTAGGGTGAGTCTAGTTTATTTAAGAATTTTCTAGGAATTTTTATGCAATTAATAACTTACCTTTTTAACATTGTGTACATTTCTTGTGTACCCATAGCGATTTCCTAGCGCTATAGCGGCTGACGCGTGGGCCAGGTGGTGGACTCGGTCTGCTGTACCGCACAGCGCTCGTGGTCCATGCACCGGTCTATGGACCTGTTGTCCCCGTTCCTTTGGTCCACGTGAGCCGGGTCTATGAAAGGAGGGGGTGTAGCGGTGCCACTGACATGCAAAGCCCATAGAGCGAGGTGGCACGCTCTCATTGGGTCACGTGACGTGGCCAGCGCTAGCTCTGTGCCTCTGCGTCGGTCATCCTCATCCTTCCCATCCGCGCAGTCAGAAAGGAAAGGGGGAAGAGGGAAAGAGAGAGAGAGAGAGAGAGAGGAAGGGAGCGAGGCAAGGAGGAGATGGGGAAGGCGGAGCTCCGAGCTCAGCTCGCCGGCATGAGGGGCGGTGTCCGAGGGGAGGCAGCTCCGCTATAGCAAAAGCAGCGTAGAGTGGGGGAGATGGAAGGGCAGAGGCGAGTGAGCAGGGGAGGCGGAGCAGAGCGCGGGGAAGCAGAGAGCAAAGCATGGCGACTGCGGCGGAGCGAGAGCGAGGAAGGGAGAGCGGGGAGGAGAGGGAAACAGCGGAAGGGAAAGGAGAGAAGGAGAGATGGAGGCTGGCCAGAGGGGGAAGGACTGCGCAACGGCGGCGACCCCGACAGCTTCGGCGCGGTGAGCTCGGCGGTGCTCCGCGACGGCCATGGCGGGGCTATTTATAGCCGGTCGCAAGGCGGTTCGCGGTGGAAAAATCTTCCGACCGGGAGGATTCTTGCCGGCAACGGCAGCAGGGCACAGTGAGGACGGCGACCCGTCACACAGGAAGTCAGCAGTGAGCTGTCGTCGGCGTGCTCCACGTGCCCGTGGTGGACGCGGAGGCGACGCGGAGAGGACACGGCGTCAACGGCAGGGAGGTGGTTGGTCGGCGGCGGCGGCGACACGCGCTCAGCGCGTCAGCGACGGCGGCGACGTGCTCACAGTGCCACCGGTGGGCCCCACTCGTCGGTGAGAGGGAGGAAGGGAAGAAGTGGCCGGGCTGGGCTGGTGTTGGTCCAGGCGGGAAAAGAGGGGAAGGGGCTGCTGCGCTGCTGGGCTGGCTTGGGCCGGCCCATCACGAGAAGAAAGAAGGGGATGGGGAAAGGGGAGAGGTGGGCCGCGTCTGTTGGGCTGGGCTGCGCCGGGTTGGGCCAGAAGGAGAGTACACAGGATATGTTTTCCTATCTTCTAATTTCCCAGAAAATGTATATGTATCTATTTGCTTTTGTAAATAATAAATATGTAGACTAACAATGCATATATACGTAAGTCAAGAAAAGATATGTGATGCATTATTCATGGTGTATTCCTAATGAGTAAAATGCATCCATGGTCCTTAAATTATTACCGCCTTCCCGTCTAGGTCCTCAAACTAAAAAAGCGACTATTTAGGTCCCTGAATTATTGTCGTCATACACCAATGGTCCAAGACCTGCCACGTCCGCACACAGCATCCAAAGTGGCGGTGCCACAGTGGCAGCTCGACGACGTGGCCATGCTATCTTCTAAAAAAACCTGCCTCCTCCTCCGTCTGTTGCTCCCTCTACGTGTAGCCGTGTCACTGTGCATATACACGTACACGTGCCCCGGCAACGCACGACCGTATGTACGTGTACGTTTAGGGCGCGGGACGACGTACACTTCATGTTTATTAGCAGCTCCATTGCATGAATTGCGGCGCACCGGTACGGCACGTACAAACACCACACACAACACACATCACACACGGCAAGCAGCATGTGTGGTGTAAAATATACGACGCATGGCATGCCAGGCCGAGGAGAGACTGGCATGCAAACCAGTCGAAGCCAGTAGCCTAAAACAGTCGGAACCCCACACCAAAGCAGGGTGGTGCTTCAGCCAAGAACTGCTCGTGTCCACAGCCACGACGACAGGGTCGAACACCTCTTCCACGATGACCACCTCGCCGTCACAGTCGATCACCATGTCTCGACGAGCACCTCACCGTCCAGCGCATCATGCCATCGTCAGCTATGCGCCGCGCCGCCAGGCCGACGTGCAGGACCTTGGTGTTGAGCCTGACGACGTCGTTCATGAGCCCGAACACATCACAGAAGTCCCTGATGTACCTGAGGTACTCGCCGTGACCCGGGTACCGGCGGCGGCGGGCGTTTCAACCAAGGCGGAGCCAATGGCTACTAACCAGGCATACCCGGTCACTCCTTGTTTCTCCAGGAAGAATCGGAACGTGAAGTCCCGATGCGAGTAGTTACCCGGGAACCTGCCCTTGCGCTCCTTGCTCAACGCCGGGATGGAGTCGGAACTCGGAAGTCGGAGAAGCCCATATGCTATCCCTAGGCACGTTGAGGCGGAGACGCCGCTGTGTGCACGCCGGCAGCGCCGACACCGAGAGGATCGCTGGCGTCGGTCTTCGGGTTGTATAGCCAATGCCCGCTGCTGCCGCTCTGCTCCATGACCGTGGCCCTCGTGGGCGGATACCAGCCCGGAGACGCCGGCGCCGACCACGCTTCCATGGTTGCGGCCCTGCAAGGGCGACGGCCTCATCCTCTCAGCTACCACCCACTCACTCCACCCCCCTCTTCCCGGTGACGTGATCGTCAGCCATGGCCAACAGAGTCGCCGTCGCCAGCGTCATCGCCGCGGTGGGCATCGTGGCCGTGATCGGCACCATCGCCGCGGTGACCAGCTCCAACAAGGTGGACGACAACGACGCCGCCGGCATGTACTCCAGCGTGAAGCTTTCCACGGTGTGCGCGTCCACACTGTACCCGCAGAAGTGCGAGCAGAGCCTGAAGCCCGTCGTGAACGACACCTCCGACCCGGAGGACGTCCTCAAGGCCGCACTCAACGTGGCGCTGGACGAGGTCGCCGCCGCCTTCCAGCGGTCCGCGCACATCGGCAAGGGCACCACGGACAACCTCACCAGGAATGCCATGGACGTGTGCAAGAAGCTCCTCGACGACTCCACCGAGGACCTCAGGGCCATGGCGAGGCTCAAGCCCGAGGACGTGGTGCGCCACGCCAAGGACCTCCGGGTCTGGGTCTCCGGCGTCATGACCTACGTCTACACCTGCGCCGCCGGAGGAAGCCAAAGCTCTGAACGCCACCCTGGCGGGTGCGGGGCACGGCCGCCGGCTTCTTGGCTGGCAGATGGGCGAGGCCGAGGAGGTGACCAGCGGCGGCCGCGGGCTTCTGTCCGTCGATGACAAGCTGGGCGAGATCGGCGCAAACGGCCGGCGCCTGCTTAGCACCTTGTGGTCTCAGATAACCAGCGCCCAGGGAGAGGACGTCCTCGCCCGCCAGAAAAAGCTGGGCGTGTCGCCCGACGACGAGACCGATCACGCTGCCCGGCGCAACCTTCTGTCGACCGAGCTCGAGAGCATCGCCAGCACGTCCGCCGAGGCGAACCGCCAGCTTCTCGCGGCGGAGGAGCTCCCCGACGAGCTAGCCGGCAAGCGCGAGCTGCAGTCCCGGACGCTCATGGGGATCGACGAGGCGGCCACCGAGGCCAAGCGCCAGCTTGATGAGGCAACGATGGAGGACACCATGTCCGGCGGCCATCCTGAGCACAGGGTACTGACCACGGGAGTGAGTAAGAATACGTGGCAGGGTTTGTTTTAGAAGGTAGTATGGCCACGTCGTCCAGCTGTCACTCTGGCACTGCCACGTTAGATGTTAATGCTGACATGGCAGGTTTTAGACCATTGGTGCACGGTGACAATAGTTCAGGGACCCAGATAGTCGTTTTTTTAGTTTGAGGACCCAGATGAAAAAACCCAAAAAGTTTAAGGACTCTGGGTGCATTTTACTCATTCCTAATTATCGACAAATTATGAATTCCTAGTTAGCAAAATATATTTGTATTCGAGAGGTAGCTCTAAATATCTACGGAAATGTAACTATGCCATATTTCCTGCCATGTATTATTATATAGTTATAATTATATTGTGCTCCAAAAGAAAGGTTTTAAATGATTTGAAAATGTAATTGGAAATTAGGGTGAGTTATATTGGTGACGCAAATAAATTCTAGAAGCAATCATGCACATAAGCAATCAAGCAAGCATTCACACATACACTCAAGCAAACAAGTGCAGGCAATGGAATTTAAATGCAAAGCAATCTTCTATTCCTAGCGCTACATCTAAATCCTGTGCGACACACAAAATGCATATCGTGGGTTTTGATGCTGGGTTTTGGAAATATATATTTTCAAAATGGTTTTACAGGAAAATAACTAGTCAAAGTTTTAATTTGTTGTAAAGTTTTAAAAAATTCAAATTTTTAGTGAATTTTAATATGACGCAAAAACACGGGTGTTACAATAAAATAGAGAGAGAAAGAAATGAGCAGGTCTAGACGTTCCCGCCTGCAAGCACACGCGCTAGTAGAGTCGTTAACAAGGAGTAGCGTTCATATTTAGCAAATAATCCAATCTTTTTAGAATGTCCTATCTAGATTGTTGTAATGGTTTGTTGTGCGGTTTGTTCCTTTCATTTTTGTTCCTTCTCGTCTTTCTTGTTTGTCCTTTCTGGTCTTAATTTATTTAGTAGCACTTTTCCTACAACGAGTTATGTTTAGGCAACCTAATCCAAACACCGCACTAGTTTGTCTTTACCCCTTTTCCTTCTACATATCGCACTAGTTTGTTTTACCCCTTTTCCTTCTACATATCTAGTATAAAATCTCATGGCAACACACTTATTGCTCAGTTGTGAAAACGCCGGACTAATTTTTGTTTCTCACTATTTGATTGATGGAGCTTGATTGGCACAACTCCAACGACATCCATGTGGGATTTTGATTTTGTGTGATGGTTTAAACTTTTAACATATGTGTATTTTTTTATCGAAAAACATGTGTATTTTAATTATTAAATAATGTTAAACTATAAAATCTCATGGCAACACACTTATTTCAATGCACCGACAACTGGATTCTTGAATTGTGGATCTGAGCTGTTCATCGTCCTCTCCTATTTTTTCTATTATATATATATATATAAAGGCCATTCTCTTGGCCGGTTGCAACACATATACGTACGAGCACTTGCATATCTCTACACCTAAGTCTATCGTCTTACTGCCCAGCCTGGCGTTGCATATTGGAAAGGCAATTCTCTACGTCTTTGTGGCCGGTTTACTTGCATATCTTTACACCTACAAAATACCAAAGCCTATCGTCTTACTGCCTCGCCCGGCGTTAATTAACCTCTTAAAAAAGTTTCCACGGAACAAAAAACGGAACCAGATCGGACTGCTTGCATGCAGGGGAAACGAAGGGGAAAAAGTTTTTTTAAAAAAATAACAGGAAAAAAGTTTTCACGGAACAAAATAAGGAACCCGCCCCTGCGCTCTGAATACTGTCCCCTTGCGCTATGAATACTGCCCAAATCTGAACCGGCCATAGACTCTGAACGCTGCCTCCACTCGCCCGAACAGAAAACTACTCGTGCCGAAAAAAAAACACGGCTGACTTATATAAAATATGTTCTACAATTTAAAATCTAATATTTTAAGGATATTTTAATAGTTCGATCAGCAAAACGCATTTTGCATGAGCACCGAGCTGTGGTCACCAATCCGGAAGATTTACAAGTCTAAGATACGCATCCACTTCTTTCAGCTTTCAGCTGGCCAATGCACACAAAAATATAAAACAGAATCGTCTGCGCGGCAATGCTTTGCCCCGCTCACCCGCGTCTGCTAGTCAATCCAACATGTGCAACATATGATTTTCCATCGAACTCTGTAGGTGGACCATGGCACACCAATCATGGAAACATAACGATCCGATCCTCGAGCGCGAGAGCATATCCTTTAATGTTGCCCTCATCAAAGATCAAGCGCCTAACATCTGTGCACAACCTCATGGCAAAGTCTACCGCCAGGCACATCCGCCAACGAAATCAGATCACACAACACCACAGGGCGCACACCCTTGACGCAGGCCAACAACGGCACCCCGCCCACAGCCGCGCGGCCTACCAATGGCTCTGGTCCCTTGCTGAACGTTTGCAACGCACGACGAAAAAAGGACGCGAGCAAGGTGACAAGCGTCGTGGCGTACAACAACAACATCCCGAGTCGTCTCGGCAGCAGAACCACGTTTGTGCCCGGCTACTGTTGCTTCATCCCCAGCCCTGGCTGCCACCGTTACCGACGCCCTTGAACTTGGAGTGGGCTAGGTTCTGGCCGTGGAACATAGATATAGCGAGGAAGATCATCGTGGCGACACCCGCAGCCGAGGCCCCGCCACTAATGACGACAAAAAGAAATAAAAAAGATATGAATGAATTTTAAAATAATTTAGGGTTCTCAATGCAAAATTGTTTACTAGCTTTTTTTTGCATCTGATCAAATTAGCTTAAAATTGTAAAATGCATAATAATAAATCACACAAGTATTAGAAAAAATGAAACTGATTTTGTTAGGTTTCTACAAACTAGATCTACATGATATAGGCGACAAATATCATGAAACGGGCGTTATATTTCCTATGTAATTAGATTTGTAGATTTAGTAGTATTTTCTTTAATGCACAAGCTACGTGCGTCACCGTATATGTGGATAAAAATTTATTGACCCGTGCAACGCACGGGCATATATCTAGTATAAAATAAAAATCCAGATTGGAGGGAGAATTTTTTTTCGGAAAACGCAGTTAAATTGAGACTGGACTGTCTAAAGTTTGCATGCTTTTGATAACGAAGTTCATTGAACCAAACCCTATTTTGATCGTGTGTAACTCATGCTATTAGTCTCATGAAAATATCTGTTTGTTCCTTGCTGGTTGATTGATCCACTAAGAATGCTGAACAAGCTAGCAACCTGTATATGTTTGTTTGCCGAATGTAACATGATTGCCTACGTGAGATTATTATTATTTTCACATCAAGCAAAAACAATCAACTGGGGAAATGAACGAGCCTTTGTGAGAACAAAGGAGACAACGAATTTATTTTTCATTAGTATTAACCAAGCACATAAAAACAATCAACTGGAGAAATGAAAGAGCCGAAGCCTAGCTCTGAAAACTATCCAGAACGAAAAACATTTGCCAAGCATTTATCCCACATTATTCGTGCAGAAGATTTAAGAGCAAGATCGACCCCCACGCGTCAATCACCTCAATGAATCAATCGAACACGGCTAGCTTCTGGTACTCCTTGCCTGCGATCGCTTGGGCCATGACAGCCTCCGGGTTCACCACGCCATCGTTCTCCAAGAAGAGCTTGACCAAGTTCTTGGAGAACCCGCTCACCATCGCAACCCCTGGCTGCGTCGACGTCACCGGCGTGGAGCGCGCGAGTCCCGCAGGTTCCAGAACACGATCTGTGGCACCACGTCGCCGTACCCAGCGTCCCGGAACTTGCGGTTGATGGCCTCGTGGTCGGTCTCCCACCGGTTCGCCGAAGCCTGGTCGAACTCCATGTCGCTGAAGACGAACACGGTCCTGATCATCTTCTCCCGTGCCAGCCGGGCGTCCACCGCTGTGCTGAGGATGCGGTCAAACACCGCCTGGAAGTTGGTGTTGAATCCCCACTGCATAGTTCGAACGAAGCTCAGCTTATCCTTGAGGGTTTTTCCCTTGATCATGTGGATTTCCGGACGTACGCTGAACGTGATCACCCTGCCCGCCCACGGTTTCTCGCTGAGCTCCGAGATGAGCAAGCCCAGGGCGATGCACACCTCCATCGGGGTGCCGTTCATGCTACCGGACACGTCGCAGACGGCGATGCAGTTGCTCAGCGAGCCCTTCTTGCGGAGGTCGTCCACCATCCGGCGCCACTGCAGCTCCGACACGTTGTCAGCCTCGCCGCGGTAGGCCGCGGCCGCGATCTCGTGGGGCAGGAGCGCGCCCGCCGCGATCTTGGCCTTTCCCGCCTCCACGTCTTCCAGGTACTTGCCGAAGCGCACCTCGTCGTGCTTCTTGAACAGCGACTTGTAGCGCCTCATGGCCACGGATGCCACGCGGGTGTAGGGAAGCTCGGACCACCTCTGGGCGCTGATATACACCTCGGGGAGCTCGAGGACCTTGCGCAGCGGCACCAGCACCTCGCGGCGGAGACGATGGAGCACGCTGTAGGCGTAGTGCTCCTCCGAAAGGTCGGCGTAGTCGGGGTTGGAGTCGCGCGGGAAGAGGCGGCGTGCGATGGCCTCGCAGAGAAGTGTCGTCCGGTCGAACGACGAGCCTGGCGTGGGGCACCACTTGGCGGCGAGCCCGATCTTCTTCTTCTTGCCGCCGGGGGCGAGCTGCTTGAGGTCAGAGGCGAGGAGGTCGGCGAAGAACTCGGCGACGCAGTCGAACAGGAATCGGTAGGCGCGATCGCTGTAGTACGTCTCCAGCGCGTTCACGGCGAGCCTGGCTGCCTTGGGCACCTTCTTCTTGGCCTTCTTCTTCGCGGCGGCCTCCTCCTGCGGTTGCGGTGGCGCAGCCGCCTCCTGAGGCGCCTCGGGTTTCTGCTCCACCTCCATCGCCTCGCGTTCAGGTTCCTGCTCCACCTCCATCGCCTGATCAGGCTCCTCCTGCGTGTCCACCGGGGCCACGGCCGCCGCTTTTCTGCTTGGCTTGGACTTGGACTTGGTCCTGGCGAGCGTGGCGGTGAAGTAGTCGGCGAGCGTGGGCTTGCTTGGGATCGTGGTGGCGGCTACGGTGGCTGCGTAGTTCTCGCGGGCACGACTCCGGCGCTCAGCCAGCTTCGCGACGCGAACCTTCATGGCCCTGCGCGCCTTGTCGGCGTCCGCCTTGGCCTTGGCGACCTTGCGGACATCGGGCCCGTGGATGAGGCGGTACAGCAGCTCGGGGAAGTCCTTGAGGTAGCCGAACTCGGCCAGCGCGGGGATGTTGCAGGCGAGCGTGCGCGGGTGGCGCTCGTGCATCCAGAGCGCGGCGGCGTAGAACCCGTCCTTGTCGGACTTTCCCGTGCCGCGCACGCCGCGGAGGTTGGCGACGAGCTTGAGCGCGGTGAGCGCGTCGCGGTCCCAGGCAGCGGCGAGGAGCGCGCGCACGCGGTCGGGCGGCGTGTCGGGGACGACCTGGAAGAAGAGGTCCAGGCAGGGGTTCCCGGAGCTGGCGTAGGTGGCGGAGTTGTTCTCGGTGCGCGCCTTGCGCCGCGGCTCCGCGCCCGCGGCCGCGGCCTTGGCGTCGGGGTCGTCGAGCGCGTTGAAGCCGGCGTCGAGGAGGTCGAGGAAGGGGTGGGAGGCCGGGGCCTCGGCGTCGGCGACGGCCGAGGGCGGTGGGCGCGCCCCGCGGACGGCGGGAGGGCCGAGGAGCACGGGGGCCATGGCGGAGTCGATCTAATCGGATCGGAGGGGTTAGGGTTTAGGGAGGGATGGAGGGATTGGTTCGTTCGATCTGGATGGGAATTGCGCTTGCGATGCGACGCGGTCAGGTGCCTCGCTCGCTATATAGCTGGGAGCCTGGCGTTTCTTGCGGCCTCGTACGTCGGTTAGAAAGTTCGATTGCAGCCGTTGTTTGAACCGACATAAGGAGGTGGATGGCTGAGATTTGATCAGTGTCCTTTCCCCCAAATCCGCCCGTTCCCTCTCCGTTGCCGGATTCGAATCGAAATTCCGCGAGTAATAGGATAGCACGCGCGCTGGATTCGGTTTCCTTCCTTTCCCTCCCTCCCTCCCTCGCGCCCGACAAGCCGACCAATAAGCCACGAAGGGGAGAGAGAGAGCTAGGCGGATTTTGGAAGCTACATCAGCGAGGAGATCCCAGGCGGAGAAATTCTACCTTGATTTCTCACCTCGTCCCCATCTAAATCTTCCATGGGCCTGCTGCATCTGATGCGCCTTGTGCACATGCAGCCGTACCAGGAGCGGCGGCGCCGCCGGCAAGCCAAGGCCACTAGTAAGCCACCGCCTCCTGTAAGCTTGTCTTCTCTCCCTGATGGACAGGGGGCAGGTACTATTCATCTCTTTCCTTGTTATTTCTGCGCGTGGTAATACCAAGACGTTGCTGCTGCTCCAGATTGGCTTCCTTCTCTATAGGACTCAAAATAAAAATCTGTCGCAGTTTAATTTTGTGGCTGCAAAGATTGTACCTTTTTCATTATCGTGTCATTGAGGAGGCTAAGGTTGTCTTCTAACGAATTTACATCTTGTCTCTGTTAGACTAATTCAGGCAGTACATTGTAATTTGTGAGCTGCGCCCTGTTCGCGTGCCCTTAAATCCGGCTTGAGCCGCTTCTTTTTTCATCCGGAACAGTGTTTTTCTCTCATAAATTCCTCCAACATTCTTCCAAACCATTCAAATTCCTCTAGAATTCCTCCAAGCGAATAGGCCCGCAATTCTCTTTTGCAATTCTTTTTATCTGGTGTGTACAGCCTACTATCTCATCATTATAGTCACTGATAGCTGCCAAGGCTATTTGATTTGTTTAATCATTATCTTGGCCTTCTGGCTGTTTAAATATTCAGATGTATACCGTAGCATTGGTAGTGTACACAAAGTGCATGCTCATTTATGTTACTTGCTAACATAGATTAGCATGCTATTGTACAAAACATCATTCCTTTCATTCAGTGTGCTTTCATTGTAGCTTGCTCAAATGCAATATATATATATATATATATATATATACACACACACACACACACAGAGAGAGAGAGAGAGAGAGAGAGAGAACTACATTCCCTATTCAGGTAGAAGTATATTTTCCCAGTAAAAGTAAAAATAGAGTACAACTTCATAGTATATTCAGGATCAAGACTTAAAGAGGTACATCATATAAATCCAAGTTAAAGATCGCGATGACTGCTTTAATTGCAAATACTTGCTCAATAAAGTTTATGAACTGAATAGTTTAATGATGTACTCTCCTACCATCCTGCTACACTACGTTAATTTTTTTTTTTTGGTAACAAATGTGACATTTTATCTCTGTTAGACCAATTCAGGTGTGCATTGTCATTCTTTGTATCTCATCTTCAGTCTACTATCTAATCATTTTAGTCACTGGCTTATATCATGTATCTAACACTGTAACTGCCAAAGCTGTTTGATTCTGTTAAAGCATTATCTTGGCCTTCAGGCTGTTTAAGTTTTCATGTCCTGGTCAAACTTCTGTAGTTTCGACCAAGTTTTTAGAAGGAATATATATTGACATCTAAAACACCAAACAAATGCACTATCAAGACATATTTGATATTTCATTGTGGATTTAATGAACTTGCCCAAACTTCATGACTTGGGACAAAGTTAAAGTAAGTGACCAACATTGACTAGCATGTTTTTGTATGAAACCTTCCTTCTATTGTTTCTGGGCTCAAATGCAAAGAAACAAATACTGTTGAGCGCTACATGCCTCATTCGGGTAGTAGTATATTTTTGCAGTAGAAGTCCAGATAGAGTTAATAGTATCTAATCAGTGTTAGGATGATCTCCACCGGTTGGCCCAACGGCCAATTGGGCCCTTGATCCACACCCTGATCGGAGGCGCTTAGCCGGTTCTAAGTGGTTGATGGACTCCCGTCGTGCAGCACTATTAAAAGGACGGTGGGGGCTGGGGCACAGTACACGAAGTTCACCATAGCCGCTAGCGCCCCACTGTGATGTCCTAACCCCAATCCGATCTAGAAGGGAGAGCTGTAAGCGACGGGAAGCACCATCGCTTTTGCACCATCGCAGCACCGCACCTACCTACACACTGCTCCTTCCCCGACACCCTACATCACCGACATGGCCATGGACGGATCATCCTCCTCCAAGCCCGACGGTCAGAGATCTCCTACACCTCTCTCTCTCTCACTGTCTCTCTCTCCCGAAGCATGCTCTAGGTCTAATTGATTCAACCAGTAACGAATACACCCTCTGATCTACACCTAGATGGATCCTAAGACGTAACATTGGTATCGAGCCGTGCTACCTAAGCGTGTAGATTAGATGGGCAAGAATTTAGAAGGAGATGATTCAAAGCGATTCGGGAATTCCCCAAACCCTAACCCTAACCCTAGAAAGAAGGACGGCGAGGGGAGGGACCTACCCGGGCTTCCCTCGCCGCAGTCACCACCGCCGGCGTTGCTCTGATGTCGCGCGGGAAGGATCACCCGAGCCACCGGCCGGCGAGGTCACGCCACAGCGCGGCCTCCACCTTGGGCTCGGGGTCAAGGGTGTCGCCACAAGGCAGCTCGACGGCGGCGCGGGTGAGCGCGCGTGCCGGCGAGAGGGCCCGCGGCGGTGCCGTCACCTTCTTCCACCGGTTGTCGTGGGTGGCTGCCGCCGCTTCGCTACACCAGAAGAGAGACGGAGGAGGAGAAGAGTGAGGCTAGGGTTAAGGGAGGCCGGCCGCGCGGGGGAGCGAGGTCTGGCCGCCGTGAACGGCGGCGCCGCCATCTCCCTCAGGCCGCCACGGGCGGCCACCGCCGCATATCACTCGGGTGCGGAGGAAAGCGAAGAGAGAGGACGGGAGGGTGAAGATTGAATTAGGGTTTGGGGGAGCGGCGCCGGACGGTGGTTTTGTTCCGCCGAGACGACCGGACAGCCGTCCGATGCAGATGAACGGCTGAGATCACACGGGCTGAATTGAGCCTAGACGGGGAGGTTAATTCCCGGCCCAGGGCCAGGTTGCGGCCTGGGCGTGGGGAGCGCGCGTGAGTTGGGCCTGGGCTACTTGGCTGAGGTGTCTTTGGGCAAGCATACTGATGTCGTCTTTGGCTGTTGTTGCTTGTTGGGCCAGCCGTAATGCTTCTTCTTTGCTCCGCTATGGGCCGTAGGCCGTTTTCAGTTTGAGGCCGGATTGCACAGTAACATTTTTTAATAAGTTTTATTCTTTTTCAGAAGCAATTTTTATGTTTTTAGTCTAGTTTTCAATCTCTGCTCAAATTTGAACCAACGGGATAATTTATTTAGAGAATAGATAAGTATACAGTGATGCTTCTGAATAAGTATTATCTTTCAAGAAGATTATTTTTTATGTTTCCGCTACAAAGATTAATGTTGATTATCTTCTAATTAAATTCGAACCAACGAGAGAATTTAATTTGAAGAGCAGTTATATTTAATAAATTATGATTAAGTTTATCCTCTAATTAAATTGGAACCAATGAGAAAATTTAAATTAGAGGAGTAGTCCGTTTTATTTAAGTAAGATTATGGTATTGTTATTTTTTGACCAACGTTGATGATGACAATATTATAATGAATTTAAGTTTGAAGTTTAAATATCTGATAAATTTTACACCAACGTGGTCAATTTTTCAGAGAGTAGATAAGGAACAAGAAATGCTCCTGAACTAATAGAATGTATTTTATTCTCATGTTTCCACTGCAATGATGTTGATTATCTTCTAATTAAATTCGAACCAACGAGAGAATTTAATTTTGAAGAGTAATTATATGAATTTCAAGTTAATTTGTGAGTTTTATGCATTAATTCTATTTTCTGCCCAACGGTGATGTAGAATTGATGCAGAAGCATATTGTATGTTTTTATTTTAATCGACGAGATCACTCGGCTGCATGCCAACGGACTGCAATGTTGGGGTATGTGAATGAAAAGGCTTGAGTCAAACCAGTTTATGACAGTTTTTTGTTAGTTTACTAATTTTCTAATTAAATTGGAATCAACGGGAAGATTTAATTAGAAAATAAAGTATAAGTGAATATTTTAGTCGTCATGACTAAGTTTTTGTATAGATGTGTCCCGCAAGGGGAGAAGTTTTGGTATAGTACTTATGCTAGTCTATCCTACATGGCGGGAGAAGTTTTGTGATGATTCACATGTTTGTATCCCGCATAGCAAGAGAAATTTGGGTAGCTCTTATGCTGTCCTAGTATTAACCGTGGCACAATTGAAATGTATCGTCATGGTCAATACTAACCAAAGGATAAGAAAAGATGCAAGCGTGACTTGCAAAAGTACTGCTAATGAAAGACCTCGGTGAGTTCTTAAAGTGAATTAAGGAAAGTGTACTTCTAAACGGATCAAGAAATAACTTTGTTTACATGACACAATCATGTGAATAAAGTAAGTTATAAGTGTCTCATCGTTTATAGACTTTCTGAATAGTTGTCAAAATTATGGCAGTAAAGTTCATGCCATATTTCGACGGGGAGAATATTTAGATCAATTAAGAAAAATAACTCTTCATTAAGAGTGAGATAAAGATTAATTAAGATGAAACCGTTGGAGGAATACAACGTCACAACAATGATACCCCTAAGTAGAGAAATAGCTAAATTCCTGGACCTTTTAAAGTTCCGACAGGAAGATAGCGTAGTCAGCCTCAAAGATGTTAAGGGGGTGCTTAAAGTGCCATATGAGGTTTTAACAGATTAA